AAGAATTCCCAAGTGGCCAATCGGTGTTTTGGTTTTCTCGTCCGTTATTACTAAGCGTTTCTGAGAAACTTCAAGCGACAGCGTGAGCCCGAGCGTAGCAAGAGCTGGGCATTAACGGTTTACGAGACGTGACTGACAGTTTCTGACAATAGAAACAGATTCTGGTGAATTCAGATAGCTGGTGACAGTTTGGATAGTCACCGTTCATCTTTCCTGGTGCCGGTCAAGTCCTCTTTGAACAAGCAATATCTGGAACATTTTGGAATTGGGTCAAGTTCAACAATGCCTGGGTCAAAGAAGGGACAGAGCGTCTTGGATGCAAACAGGAAAGTAAGTCATTGTGACTTGTCTGTTAATTGTAACGATGTGTCTGATGTTAAGCATGACATGGTTGATGTTACTGTTTCGCCGTTCAGGGATAATAGGAACATCAAACTCCCTAAATTTGAACCACGGTATTTTGATGGAAACCCAGCTGATTATTTACAATTTGTAAAGGAGTTTGAGATCATGTTGAGTGGTTTTTTATTAAATGATGAATTGAAGTTAATGTATTTGATGAGATATTGCACTGGAGATGCTGCAAGAGCTATACAGTGCTGTAAGGTCATGCCCCTAATGAGGGATACGCTGAGGCTATGAGCATATTACGTCAAAGGTTTGGAAGACCTTCAATGATTGTAAGGAACGTATACGAAGCTGTCAAAGGTAACGGCAGTCAACTTCAAGATGACTCCAAGGCACTTACTGAGTTTTTAGATAATCTTATGACTTATAAGAATACCTTGATTTCGATGAATTGCATGAGTGACCTCAACTCGAGTTTTATACTAGAAGTAATAGCAAGACGCCTACCTACTCGACTGCAAAGGAAGTGGGTGAAGATAAGCTCCCGTATGGAGGATGAGGGTATCGAGCCAAAATTTGATGATATCCTGAAACTGGTAAAAGATAGTGTCAATCAATCTATGAGCAAGTTTGCCAGTATATTGAATCTCACCCCTAGAATAGAGCAGTCTGAGGGTAAAATGCAATCATTGATGACGAAAGGCCTCAGAGAGGTGGATATCGAGAAGGCTCCATGATGTCTAGTAATGCATATAGACCTAGTGAGTGTAACAGGTTTCGTAGTACATCCTCAACAGATAAGTTACAAGATGCAAGACAAACACGGTTGTGTTTTACACGTTTGCAAGAGGTGCATACAAAGGTGAACTGTGAACCAGTGAGCAAGTTCAGTGATAAGCTAAATGTAAACTCCAGGCCTGACTCCGAATTGTGTGACGATAACGGTGTTGTGAAGAAGTCTGTAGTTGCAACTGGTAAGCCATTGTTGAATAGAGTGTCACAGAATAGAGTTACTGCTTCAGAGTGCAGTTCTGACTCCACAAGTTTACAAGGTATTACTAGTCAGAGTGAAGATATAAAACCTTTTAGGATTTGCGAGGAGGAACCAAAATTGTCTACTTCTGTTATTAAAGAGTTTGAAAATGATGAAGTCGACATGAGGTAAAGGTAAATTGAATATTTGTGATAATGATCATGATACTTCACAGTTGTCTTTGGTTGATCATGATGAGATGAGGGATATGCCTACTACTGCTAAGTTGAACAAGGGTTCTGTACAACTTGAACGTGAAGTAGAAATAAATGCAGATGCAGTTGCAGAAGGCATGCATACTTGTGAGACCGTCAGTGTGATTGATCAGCATGTAGCCCACCTATCATCAGATGCTAGTGCTAAACCTGAGCTGATAGTAAAAGACAGCAGTGGTGGTGGTCTTGCAGGTAGACAAATTTCTGAAAGCCGAGCAACAACAGCTTTGATCCACCGCTAACTTCATCAACTGATATCAATCAGTCGTCGTTGGTGCTGTCATCCACAATGAAACAGACGCCCATCAACTCAAGTATCTTGTGCAATGACTATGCTAGTATCAGTTCGTTTGAAAGGACGAATATCAATGGTCAGTTTAGTGAGGATAAGCCAAGTGTAAACGAGAGAGTAATTGTTAAATTGACTTGCACGAATAAAGGCATTTCTAGTTTCAAGTTACTATTTGAATGCTATTATCTTTGGTGTAAATTACTCTGTTTCTACACTTGGTTGACCAGATACGTCGTGTGTTTGTTCGTCATCTATATTCTACGATACAATGACATGAGCGTGTTACCGTTCAGATTTGAGGATATAGCTGATAGAAGGAAGTCAGCAAATGAACTCTGCGACGATTTTCCAACCTAGAGCGTCAACCTGAGAAGGGTTGTAGGCGTACTGCTGTAAGTCCTACAATTCTTCAAAGGGTAGCGCATCAATGAGCAGTCCAATGTGCTTGGTGTGTGATTTTGTACATATGTTCATATTGTATATACTGAATTGATATCATCTGTCATCTAGCTGTTGGTAATTCTGTTTGTGTCCGGACGACTTCCACTTGGATCATCAACCTGAGAAGGAATGTAGGCGTACTGCTGTAAGTCCTACAGTTCTTCAAGGGTAGTTTGTCATGCCAGAATCCACAACATTTGATGTGTTGATTGTACATATGTTTGTGTTAAATAATTGTGTGAGTTCCAATTAATGTAATTGTTGGTTAATCTTGTTTGTGTCCGGACATTCCACAACTTACAATCGTCAACCTGTGAAGGGTTGTAGGCGTACTGGTGTAAGTCCTGCGATTCTTCAAAGGAATTCCATCAAGACATGAACTGCGAGTTTGTGTGACTGTTTGTATATATGTGTGGTGTGTCATATCAATTGGTGTTTTTGGATTCATTGTGTTTACTCGTTGTTTTCGTACCTTGTTTTATTGCATAATTTTGTTAAAATTTTCGTCGTGATTACTTCTGAAGTTGTTTCGAGTCTTCTACATCCGTGAATGAATTGATTGATGTTAAGGACAGCAGATGGGTCGTATACGCCGGGGAGGCTAGGCTATTGCTGAGAATGAAATGCACACGGAGATAATTGTTAGCTGCGGTCCGACACGCCGGGGAGAAAGAGTGTAAACGACTGAGGCTCGCATGCGTCACCACTACTAGAACTGAGGCAGAATGAGTGACAAGCGATTGCAGTGGTAATTGGTAGTGAGTAGATAAGAGGATGTGCGTAGAGTATCGTGAGTTGGTGCTATGGTCACGTTGCATTCTGCAAGAGTCATTCTAGCAAGTGGCGATTGTGTTGCAAGATGTCAAGAGGAGGTCTCTGTCTGGAGGCGCAGGTCGTCAGCGATGTGTGAGATTGTGCTGTGAGTATGCTTGTGGTGTGTTGGCTTTTCTGTTTGTTTTCCATTTCAGCTCTGTCCGTGTGACCCAGGTTCTCGCAATGGCATCCAAGTCAACGTGTATTGGTCGTGAAGGAAAAAAGGGTTGGATCCCTTTTTTGCCGGGGAGTGTCAATGGAGTTGAAGATTGAACGATCAATTCTTGGTTGTTTGCTCAAAATCAACTTCCCCAATTTTCGCGGAGGCATCAATACGACAGTCATCGTCTCATCGGTCGCTGTTCAGAAAGAAGTCAGCAGTAAACCATCAGAAGTAATATTGTGATTTATTATTGTAATATTTGTTCACAGACCTTAGTAGAAATATTTTTTATATGTTGGTGTTACAATAAAGAATTCCCAAGTGGCCAATCGGTGTTTTGGTTTTTTCGTCCGTTATTACTAAGCGTTTCTGAAAAACTTCAAGGAACAGCGTGAGCCCGAGCGTAGCAAGAGCTGGGCATTAACGGGTTACGAGACGTGAGTGACATATGGAGTTTTTAGCACAGATATCGGTTGACCAAATTTTACAGGCCGACCATAGATGTCAGGTGTGCGCCAGCGGGGATCGGACCCCGGACCATGTGCATGATCGGCTACAGTCCTAACCACTGTGCCACCGACCCACATTTCTCTGAATTACATATCTGTCCGCGGACAACCATATTCAGCACTTCAATAATTGTTTAGCAGTTGTGATCGTCTTACCTTCTATCTTGTACTAGCGTATGTGGACCACGGGCGACGATGAGACCCACTGTCTTACATTAAAATGAATATACACTGCTTCTTAGGAATGACTATATATCGAGCATCGAATGATGATTTCACTACTCTGGCCATATCACCATTGATTTTATGTGAGTTTAGGGTTTTATCGCGCGAATGTGGGGATTTTTACCTTATGTCTCTTTCCGCAATCCAGCGAGAGATTTGCATATACTCAGTATCCTTCTGAGGAGTTCACTAATAGTATTTATCATTGAAAGCCATCTCCGATAGATGTCAAAGCGCAACGATTACTAGGTTTAAGGATGTTCAGCGGTTAAATTATGACCCGTTTTGAAAAATTAATTCGATAAATTTATGTCACTATGATCATCAGCATTTCTTTTATTGAAATATACCTGACTAAAAAAGGTCAGAAATCTTCCAGAGAGTATCAGAATAAAAATTAACCTACTTAGTTTTGGTTCTATTCACTTATGTACGATGATAAACTTTTAGGACATTAGAAGGCATCACGATAAGGCTGCTTTTGAAACATTTCAGAGGACTGCGCATTAGCAAAGCTTTCGCTAGCGGAAACAAATGTTGGAGTTATAATGAAAGTAGGAGAATTATGACCAGTCCATTTTGGAATTGCATTTCATCGATTGACTAACGCTTGGAAGTGACTATTGGAAGAACTTACTTCTAATTCATTAAGGAGAAAGAGAGGTGAACGGAAGCTATCACAAGCAGTTATTACTGAATCAGAAACCAATCAGACCAATCTCCAGCTGGAAATATACGAGGATGTATCATTTGAAATGCTTACTGTAATTTAATAACGTATTTTATGGTGATATCTCTTTTGAAGAGTTCTATTCATGTATATTTTCAACTGAAATCAAATTTGATGTTAGATGAAGTAAAGTACTCAACACGTCAAGGTTATTTGGTGTGGCAGTTTGAACAGTCGCAGAATGTTGTGTTTTTGATTTGGATGTTATCAATAAATTAGTGGGATTGAAAAATGTTTTCTATTAATCTGGTTGTGAAATTTCCAACATCAGGAAATTGTTATTCACTAAAATTTACTAAGGATATAACTGTTTATGACTTGTGCCATGAAATTCATTCCAAAATTAGAGAAGCTGCTTGTCTTAATCGTATGTTATTCTGTTTAATCAGCCTAACGCCTATATTAGCTTCAGAAAACGGGATCTTCGTACCGGATCCAGACCCCAAGCATTCCTTTTGGCTAGACAACTCTCGAATGCTGTCTTATTACCACTTTTGTGATAATGTAATTTTGTGCATAGTTCTTTTTATTTCTCCATGCAGTTTGAAGTCCAATATAGATCTAAACTTCGTCTTCTTGTTATACAAACTATGGATGAGACAAGGAAGACTTTGCAAGTAGACGATAGTAAGACAGTTGCCGAGCTTATGTTCACAATTTGCTCGAAAATGGGTATGCTAATCATTTTCACTTTTTAAATGTTTTATTTTAATGTACTGGGGAAGTTTAATTTGTGGGCATAAACTTCTTATCTCATTTTTACTGCGCATCTCATTTATTTTTATTCAACTTATTTTGTTTTTAGTGTCTACTTTTTCTTTTTAACATTGTACAGTTGGTATAAATCTTTTTCCAGATATAGTACATGCACTAAAATGTTTGTTTTATGTGTGTTTAGGCACTAGTATAGACTTCGTAATGATTTGAGGCTACTGAATCTCGTCGCCCCATTGTAGACTTTCCACATTCTCGCTTTCAGCTTAAAAGCTGTGATTGTAGTCTTTATATACTGCTTTCTTTCGTTAATTACATTTGATATGAGTTTAGATGTTTCTAAAAGAGCGCATACTTGATTTTTGTTTGTAAAATTTAATATGATTCACCGGGCCTCACTTTTTATTCCTTCAGTATTATTATTTATAAATGGCAGATATTATTCCTAATGTAACGTTTATTTTAATATAGACTCAGTGAATGTCATTCTTACCGGAATGCTGCTATTCTTCTTGACTGTTCGTCACTGGCAGTGAATTAAATTAATTTATGTCTGATATCCTTGAGTATTTTTGTTAGTGTTCTAAGTCCGGAGGGGAATTAATTTGAAAAATGCTTAAAAATAATCAGGAAATATAATCACCACTGTACTGTATTACTGTTGTAATAATGATGGTGTTGTGTTGTCACAGGTCAAGATAACGTTCGCGACTCACCATCATGCATAACTGTCAGACACCTAAGATGGTCAAGATATATCTGAAAAATGCCTAAATATCTTAAATTCTTATATCATTACAAATAAAAGAATGCAGAGAGGATGTCACTTATTTGCTGAGGACTAACAGTTTTAGCTTACTAGTCAGGTCTTAGTTTAAAATATATCTAAGGAATATTTATTTTGGAGTAGTGGTTAAGGGAAGTTGTACGTTGACTTTTTATTTAAAACAGACGTGAATTTTTGATATAAGGATAGAACTTGTGCACTGTGGTAGAGTATAATTCCATTATGGGTAAAATTTACTTTGATAAAATCTCACATTGTTATACAGTAATGTTTACTGATGACGTTTCAAGCACAGTTTATTGATCATAATCACGTCAAGGTACTCACACGACTCTCTAACTTCGTTTATATAATTCCATTATTTTTCATCACTTGACTTGATTGGTAGTAGTATTTTCCGTATTTGCGGTATGATTGATGAGTCATTCCCATTGCATTTGTTGAGTGTAGACTCGATGTGAATTTTATTTATGAAGAATTCGAGATATCTTATTAGTAAAATTAACTACACATCATTCATATCATCTTTGTTGTACGTGTTAATCTTTAGGTATTACAAATTATGAAGAATACTCACTAATAAGACCATGTGATGAGGATGAGAAGTTGCGTACACTTACGTTGAGAAAAGGCAGGGGTAGCATCAGGAATCTGGAGAAGCTAGAAAAAATGAAGCAAAAGTTACACACAGATAATGAATGTGAGTTATATTTCAAAATTCAGTTCTTTAGGTTTTTTCTTAACCTTAATTTTAATGTGTTTAACTTGGTGGTAATTTCAGTTACATATTCTATATTCGTTCGTACATTGTGTGCGGAATTATTATATTGTTTGTTTGGTGAGATGCTGTCCGGTTTATGGGGTGGCTTTAGGGTGCCAACAACTGCCACAGTATGTTCAGTGGTTGTAGGCACACAAATAAACCGTACAGGTAGTTTCTTTCAGGTACCAAAAATAGGGAACATGGCACATAGATCTCCATAATAAGTGAAACTAAGGTGTATGACTGCAATAATGGACAGTTGAAATAGGAATAAGATCAGTGTCCTTTGACTCTACCTATTTCTGTCCATTGCTTTGTAGTTTTAAATTATGAAAAATGATTTAAAAATACTCCTGGTTGTAGTCTTGTTGTGAATTCTTTGTTTTATAAGAGTAACAAGGTGGAACTTTAAATAGTGAAAGGAGACAATCGAATCATGTATTCCTTTACTATTTCGACTGCCCACTCCTTTTATACACCGTTGTTTACGATCTCACTTCTTGCTTATCATTATTACATTTTCATCTCACTTTATGTGGAGCACGAGTTGATTAGCCATTCTTCTAAGTCCTTTTACAAATAATACAGCTGGTTTATAGGTTAATGTAGTGAAGTCTAATAATAGGAGTAAGTTGTAAATTAAGCTTGTTTTCCAAAAGACTAAATGTTGCCTCAGTTCGTAACATTGCATTGCAGAATAATTTTTATTTATGATACTTATGCGTTTTTAGAAGTTTCCAAGTAATATGTGTAGCCTTTGTATCCTTGTATCGGCTACAGGGTCGGAAGTCAGGAGTTGATAAAATAAATGTATCATTTAATGTAAAATTGTGTGTCTTTGCTTAAACTTTGTTTCGATTGGGATTTAAAATTGTCTAGTTAAAGTAAAGAATTGTAAGACTTGTTTTTATATTATGAAAATGGTTCTTGGGGATTTTGATATGATATTTTTTGTTTCAGTTAACTGGTTAGCTCCTGGTAAAACTCTTCGTCAGCATGGAGTTGAAGAATCTGAAATTCTACTTCTTCGTAGAAAATATTTTTTCTCCGATCAAAATGTGGATACACGAGATCCTGTACAATTGAGCCTCCTTTATGTACAAGTAAGTTGACTATGAGAATTATTTGAAGACATGTAATTATCCCTCATAAAGTAAGATATTATTAGCATTTTTCTGCGCGGCTACATAAATTAATGTTAGTTCGTAATTGTGTTAATGAGCAGTCTTCTAAGATAGATTGTTGTCAGGCAATAAATTTATAAAGTAACATCCAGTATCTGTGAGTTTCATGTGGCTACGATTTTTCAGCAAAGGCCCTAAAGGTTCAATAGGGTTTGATCTGGGGTTATGTTCTGTGATTTTGAAAATGTAAGGCTAACGAGTAATCACTATTATTTGTAAGCGTTTTCATTACATTTAAAGTTATATATATTTGTAAATTTGTATTTTTATAAGTTATCAACATAGATATTGTAGTTAGAATAGATTATATATAGAATATAAAGAGTCGGTGGCACAGAATCAGAATGTTCGCCGACCACGAGTGTGGTCAGGTGTCCGATCCCCGGCCAACGTACTCCTTTATCTCACTAAGCCAATAGTAAGACAGGTAAATAGGGAAGGTTGGGCATGAGGCTAGCAAACACAACCCGTAAAAATTAATACCATTGCTACGGAAACTTCGAACCTCTAGATTGAAGTCTTATGTTCCACTGGGATCGTAAAGGAATAAAGAAAAATAGAATATAAAACATTTAGCTATTCAATGGTTTAGTATCGATTGATTTTTAAGTAGTGTGTAAGCTACGCAACTACCACCTCCTCCATAGCTGTCTTAAGTGATGTCACCTTGTCGGATATTTTATGTTAAATCCACTGATTGTGAGAAAAGTTTATGAAATCCATTTGAAACCTGTTGACCAATAACCGAGGGTAATCAAGGTAGATATTTTCGCTTTCCATCATTGAAAAAGAGTTTCTGTTGTTTATCTGGAATAGAAGATTTGGAGGTTTTCATATTCATCTCCTTCTTTCATATAGAAGTTATTTTTAACAGTTTCTTTTCTCAGAGTGTTGCCAACTTTGATGGACTTTAGCCTACTGGCATCTTGAGTTTACTGTTTAGTTTTTGATTTAACCTTTAATATTATTCCTGAAACTAATACAGGGGACTCTATTGCCTTTGACTAAAGTACATTTATAGCACATAAAATCTAATTTACTTACTTTATAGTAGTTTAGTGTCCAACTTGACTTGTAGTTAAATGCAGTTTAAGAAAAGTAACTTAATGGATGCAACTGATAGTTCACTGACTGATGATGACAATTAAGTGATTTTATTGGTGGAATCCATATTGTAGTTTGACTGTTTGTACTTGAAAACGTTACAACTAGCTAGCGTTTCAAGTAGTTAGTGTTTAACGGTTTAATGTATCTATTTCAGTTAATCTACTCTTTAATTAAGAGGCAAAATTCCTCATCTTAAACATAGATAGCTTTCTAAACTCCACTTTTTTTAGTAGATCAGATCAAAAATATACTTCATGTCGCTTATGTAATTAGTTGAAACCACTTTAAAATCTAGAAGTTTTGCTATAAGCCTAGCTAGGCATCATAATTTTGGCCATGTTAAACTTTAAGCACCAGTGGAGTGCGACCGCACCAATGACCTTGAAACTCTCAGTAGGCGAGTTAGCGATACCGGGTAAATAGTATTGTAATCATAAATAAAATATGCTTAATGAGATGCATTATTAAGTGAGATATCCGGCAAGTTTCAGGTTAGGTTTGGGAAAGGTTAAGTTTTAGGTTTAGGCTAAGAACGAGTTAAGTTTAGGTCAACTTAACGACGGCGACATTAACGTTGGTTTCGGGATATTTTCACGTTAGGTTTAAGTTAAGGAAAGATTAGATAGATTGTTGTTAGCGTTAGAAGACTGGATAATTGCATGCACAGACTGTGGTTAAATTACTGTGTTGACACTTCAATGCAAAAGTGAGAGGTATTTTTGTTACACATCGGACAAAGGTAGCTTGTCTGTGCAGCAGTTTCATGCCTTTTATATCACTATTTTCATGAATATGTATGTATATTTCATACGCACAAATTGCCTTTATCATGTCGTTGGTGCGCTCAGGGTCATTTGTCCGTTGGCACTTAATGGTGTTTACTGTTTAACTTTGCCATATTTTTCTTATAGTGGCTAAATACATCGGATTTCAGAGCTTTTGTTAGCCTTTATACCATTTATAGAAAAATATGCAGTAATATTACTGAGTCGCTTCAAAATGAATTGGGCTGTGACTCACTAGCTGAAACATTTGAATTCTCACCATAGAATTCTAGGTGTAAGCTTGATAGCATCCGCAAAAGTTAAACATACCACTGTTATTGCCTACATTATGCGTCAGTGGTGGAATATTTGTCAACTATGCATGTGATTTGGGTTCGATTTGGAGCCGATGCATATCTAAATCTCATTTAGCCGGTAAAGAGAGGGGGTTCATCGTGAGACTAGCTACCCTTTTAAATTATAACTATACAGAAACCTGTACAAGGTGCTTGTGTGATGCTATTATTATTATTATTATTACTGCAATGATTATTAATTTTATGTCGTTAGATAATACACTATTTGTTCCGGCTTCTGATGAGAGTCAAGAGATAAAACTTACCTTATTAGGTTAATTTGTAGTCATATATGTTTGCTAAATGGAAGCCACTTATTTCCTTACTATTCTTGGCCTATTTTAATGACAATCAGTAACTTATTTTTCAATACTTATAGAAGGATTTAATGCGGTAGTCATTTTTATTTTGTTTGTTTGTTTGTGTTTAATTATTTAAAGCTGAAAGAAGCCATATTGAATGGAACCCATCCAATATCTCAAGATCAAGCTGTGAATTTAGCTGCTTTACAATGTCAAGCAGAATATGGTCCTATGATACCGGAAAAGATTAAACGAAATCCTATCGAGTAAGCCAGTTAATCATTGTTATAAACTATATATATATATATATATATATATATATATATATATATATATATATATATGTGTAGTCACTGTGTTTTCTTTATTTATTTTTCGTCATATGAATTTTAATTTATTCTTTTCAAGACAATATACTGATGGGCAGTTTATATGTGTATGCTTACTTCAAAAAGTGTTCAATAATCAGTAAAAACAGTATAAAATGATTGCTACCATTCACTGTCGGACTGTTCACAAAGCATGATGTCATCTCTTTTTAAAAGAATTGTTTGTCAACTATGAGTACGCATATTTCATATTCGGTTCCCACTGTGTGAAGCTTTAAGAAGCCTTTTAAAAAATATTCGGATCAGATATTTTACTTGTATTCATTTAAGCCCACTTTGAATTATTAATGGAATGGGATTTGTATAAGTGTAAAAATACATTTTATTCAAGTGTTGGTTTGTAGGGATTTGATTGGTTACAGGATTTCATCATGAGCTGAAATTAGTTACAGAACCATCGGAAAACCTGGGAGTACTGGACAGCTGTTTCGTCTTAGTTTGGGACTCTTCAGCAGTACGCACCCACCGCCAGGGTTCGAACTCAGGACATTCTGGTTACAAGGCGAGGTCGTATATCAATAAGCCACTAGGACCCGATCCAACGGTCAGTGCATGAATTGTAACTCCTGCCAATTCATGACATAGCGCGACACCTAGCCAATGTCTTCGGTGAGTATTTGTTCTCACACCCGACCTGCTGTACTCTACTGGTCACGGCTTCCCACTAAAACCACTAACTGAATAGGGCAAACATTTCATTCAATGTTTATTTTTGCAGTTGTAAGACAAATTGTATGAGACACTGTACTTTCTACTAATAGATGAGGATTTTTAGGTTTGGAAAGCCAGACTGTGTTTCACAGCCTTCAAAATACGTTTAGCTTTGATTGTATGGTGCAATATTATTTGCACATTACTTTTGGGTTGAATATATATATATATATATATATATATATATATATATATATATATATATATATATATACCAGTAGTTCACGTTGATTGCAGTTTTTTTGTTACTTAAAGTTTAGTGGGTAAGGTTAAGTATAAGTTATACATGTCCAAACCAAGTTCACTCTTAACAGTCTTCTTAGATGAGCACACTCTTTTATGTTAACGGATGAGAAAGAAAAAGAAGAAGAAATACCAAACATGACTGAGACTCTCAAGCAAAATAGCTACCCAAAGAACATCAACAAAATAAACACTGATATTAAATGTAGTCGAAAACGTATTCCGAAAAGATAGGCATCAACAGTTGTCGTTCCACATAGAGCAGAGACGTCAGGTGATATCAGAAGAGTACTCAATAAGCTCGATATCAGAGCTTTCTTCAAAACATCAGACATACTGCAAAGTAACCTTGTCCATATAAAAGACCAAATCCCTGAGGATTCTCTATCTAATTGTGTCTGATGCGATGCGGACAAACATCACGAGAAATCAAAATCAAAATAAATGAACACCGTAGAGCATCTCTTCGACCACCGAGAAATACAGTTGAACTAGAAAAGCTCGAAAAATCACCAGCCATAGGTCTATACGCTATAGAATCAGACCACAAAATTGATTTTGACAATATTGAAATAATCCAGAAAAACTTCAGAAATCACAAAGAACGCCTAATATCAGAAGCACTTCATATCAAATGGAACTCAAATTGTCTGAATGGGAATGATGGACTAAAACAGAATTTGATCTGGTTACAACACCTCCCTCCCACATAAAATGACAAAATCAATACGAATGTGTTAAGTAATTTCATTATGTAAACACACACTGCTTTTACAATTTTACGTACTCATTAAATCCAACAATCTACACATGGTTTTGTTATCTTTACCAAATGGCCGATTTGACAACACAAAAGTGACCTCATGCTGAGGAACGATGATTAAGTTGTTATATATAAGCTGAGATTCTGTAAATTCTGGTTAAATAATACTGTGATAAGGCTATTAGCATTAAATAGCAAAACGTGAGGAAAAACAATATCGTTTTGTTTTTCATTCATTTGGAAATACAAAAAATCTTTATTATAATGAAGGTAAAGTATAAAGATTATAAAACATTTTCAGCTTGTAATCACCCTCATTGTCAAGTTATGAAGACCAGTAAATAAACTTTTGAATATGTAAATTGATTGCGTCGGTGGCACAGCGGTAGAATGCTCGTTAACCACGCTTCATGTGGTTAAGGGTTTGATCCCCGCCGATGCCGCACTCCGTTTACCTTGCTAAGCTAGCAATAAGACTGGTAAAGAGGGGAGTTTGGGCATGAGGCTAGTAACCCCATCCCGTAAAATTAAACATCACTGCTAGCGAAACTTCAAAGCTCTAGTTTGAAGCCGTATGTTCCACTGGGAACGTAACGGAATAAAAAAGTATATATATATATACTGAAGCCTCAAGGCTTAAATCATCAAAATGACAGTTAACTAGAAGAGTACCTTGTAACATATTTCATGTCTACCTAATGTGTTTTAATAATTAGCAAGCAATACAAACCAGTGGTTACAAATGTAATTCTACTCTAAAATAAGCCGAATCTATTCTATGAAGTTTTATTGCTTCATTGTTTTCCAGTTTAAAAGATCGTTTACCAAAAGAATATATTAAATCAAAGGGTATTGAAAAAAGAATATTAGAGGTAAGTCCTATTTTTTATATTGCTTCTTTTATGCATAAGATATCATTGAGGTGGAACTGATTTGAGAACAGCGGCATTGTTAATAACTGTTCCATGGAGAGTTTTAATGTGATAAACCTACAGCTGATGTAGGCGATAGTTTTAAAATCATTGAAGTAGTTTTTTTTGTAACATTTGGTAAATACAATTGGTCTTTTTTGTATCAGGTTTATGAGAATTTCATTGATTCCTAAGTGGATTTAGTCACGATCGAGATCTGTTACAGAATCATTAAAAACTAGGAAGCACTTTTTCCTGTTTTAGAACTCTTCAACAGCACCTATCCATGATCTCAACAAGAGGCGAAATAGGTATCTGCAGGTTCACGAGACAAGCACCTCGACATTTAGCCATTAGATTCGAGTAAAGTAGCACACCGTTTAGGAATACTGTCAATTCGCTGTATTTTATAATGACACTATCATCTTATGTTATCGGCGAATATCTGTAGACTTCACTGGTCACAACCTTTGTATTAAAACACTAAGAAGTCCATCTCGTAGTCAGTCATCAATGACCGGTAGATGAATTTTCCTTTGTTGTAACTGTAAGGATTCTATGTCAATGCCAGTTCAGGGTTTGATCGTTGGTGTGTACCAGTAAAAAGTCCGAAGAAAAAGGATGAAATAGCTGTGTTCAGGGTTTCCTGATTATTGGTGGTTCTCTGACACTGATATCTGTTAGTGATGAGATCTATATTGATATAACTATTCATCTCTTCTAATTTAGTTTTTTTACTACCTAATTTACTAACAATTAAGTTGAATTAGAAGGGCTTAAAATTCGTAATGATGTCTTTTGTTTAAGCAAAATAATGGTAACTAGCAGTGGAATGCAGGATGCGCATTTCATCCCATTTGGGACTCGTCATCTGAATGTACCTGCAATCCCCAGGTACTGATTGTATTGCCAGTGAACATTGAACCCCAGTACTCTTAATTTCAAACGCCAAAGCCTCATCTACTAGGCCACTGAAGCTATGAGAGCTGTCTCTTATGCAACGGGTATCGGTTTTGTTATTTGTTTAATTCAGTTTTACTGGTTTGATCACGAGTTGACATGAGTGAGAGAATCTTTTGATACCTCGGAGTACTGAACATCTATTTCGTCTTAGTTTGGGAATCTTCGTCTTTGTATACTTACCGGGGTTCAAATCCTTCGCTTTTCGGGTACAAGATGAGGTCGTAGACGATTCAGCTACTTGAACCCAATCCAGTTACCCATGAATTCCAACTTTCGCCAATTCGCGATATATGTAGTGCAACCGCCAGCCGACGTTATAGGCGATTAACTGAACTCATTTGACTTTGCACAGGTTGAAATTCACGAATAACTAGATTGGCTCCAAGTAGTTGAATGGTCTACGAGCTCGCCTTGTCCGCCAAAAGTGCTGCATTTGAACCCTGGCAGATACGTAATGATGAAGAGTCCCAAACTAAGACGAAACATATGTCTAGTAACTCCAGGTTTTCTGAAGGTTCTCTAACTTGATATCAACTAATGATCAAACGTGTAAGCAATCAAATCCCTGCAAAACAACATTTTATAATTTAATTTTGTATTTCCTGTTAATTTGATTATATTTGACCTAACTGTTGTGTCTCTGTTGTCGCGTCCCTATCCGCCAAAATAACAACAAGTTAATTCTCAGACATTGTCGAATTGTTCCGTACTGGGAGGAATCGACATTTTATCAAATGAAATCGAAAATTTCATTTCAATGTAATCAATCACAATAGACAATAGAAAATTAAATTATGCTTTTAACTGTTATTAAAAAAAAACAATTCAACAAAATAATTTACTCCTAATTCACCTTATTAAATGGGATAATCGCATACACTCGCCTTAAAAATTATTATTATTATTATTATTAGCATTATTATTCTCATTGCTTCATCAAATGGTGATTGTAGGTTGGACTTTAACGACAGCTTCATGATCCCAGTGGAACAGAGGGTTCCAAGCTAGAGGCTTGAAGTTTTGTAGCAGTGTTAATTTTTACAGAATGGGGTTGCTAGCCTCATGCCCAACCTTTCCGCTTTACCAGTCTCACTGCTGGCTTAGCGAGGTAAAGGAGTGTGTCGGTGGCCGGGGATCGAAACCCGGACCATGTGCATGATTGGCGAGAGTCCTAACCGCTGTGCCACCGACGCACTTAGAGTTGAACTTTAGTGAAAAATATTTCCAGATAAATACACCTTTAGCGGATATAATTCGATGAGTCCCTTTATTTGTTCATCACATTGTGGTTCATTGATAGAACACCCGTGAACCACGTCTCACGTGATCTGGGGTTCCATCTCTGGTTGACGCACTACTAACCCTCGCCCAACCGGTAGTAAGACCAGTAAACAGGGTAGGTTGGACGTAAGGCTAGCAATCCCAGACCGTAAATACCAAGCACCACTGCTACTGAAACCTCAAAACTCAGGCTTGAAGCCCTGCTACGTTCTGCTTAGAACGCAAGGGAATAAAAAAATACTAATTGACTTCATATTCTACTAGGCAGTTTAGAGCACGTTGACCGCTTGACTTATTTGGGAAGTACTATCAGCCCCAACGGGTTGATCCCCGATGAAATCTCAGCACAGATACAGGGGGCTCGTTTCGCATATGCCAGTTTACGCCGTCTTTGGCGTAGACGTGATATCTAGTTGGCTGTCGACAAAAGAGCGTGTGTACTGCCCATCAGTCCGCTCCGTCCTCCTTTATGGCTCTGAGACCTAGCCATTGAGAGTGGAAGACATGAAAAGGCCGGATAGCTTTCTTTGATCATAGGTGCCTGTGTTCTATCTCCCGTGTGAAGTGGCATAATAAGGTGAGCAATATTGAGGTTAGGCATTGAGTGCTGGATGGTAAGGAGGGGAAATCAATCGACGAGGCTGTGAAGTTTCAAAGACTGAGATGGTTAGGACATGTGTTACGCATGCATGCCTAATCATCGCCTTCCTCGACTGACAGGCAATGTTAGCGGACATAGGGTCAGGCTGGAAAAGAGCTAGCGGCAATCAATCCAAAACATGGCCTCACCAGTCAATGAAATCCACAACAATTAGTTTAAGCCAGCCAGCCACGTAGGAAGGTGTAGACTTCCTGGTTGGGGTCCTCAGGACGGTAAAAGCCAATGGCTGGAAACTATTGCTGACATGGCTCAAAATCGTTCTCAATGGCTGGCGCAGATGCATCCACTCCTTGTGACTTATGATTTCCAATAAAACTGTTTTGTTCTTCGTTACTACTATTCCTCTGTCTTACACCTCTGTTTATTGTCTCTATTATGCATTTCTTCTACTTTCTTCTCTTGGTTTGTGTGCTACAAGGAGTGAGTGTGGCGACTTGAACTGCCGCACATATGTGCAAAGTTCTATGTCGAAAACAGACAGAGACAGAGAAGGCAGTTTCATTTGTTGTAATGCAAATAAGAACAATGATGAACCGATTAGTCAGCTTCTTCTGCTACTTCTTACTATTATTATTATTATTATATTTCTCCTAATTGTTGTGGGATAATCAGTTCTACTTTATTTGAAACAACTGCCTTGATTATTTTACACTTTAGCCTTTCTTTTTTATTTGATTTTGTGAACAAGTGAATTATTAGTGCTGATTATTGATAATAGTTGAAATAGTTAATATTAACAGTATTAACAAAAAAAATGTGTTGATAATTACTATTAATCATATTTCAGGTGTTTATTCCCTCTCCTCCTCTGCCTTTCTCTTTCGCTCGCTCTATCTATCTCTTACCGTCTTGACTTCAGGTGGCTGTTTTCGCTTTTACTTTTATTGTGTGTATGTGTGTATTTATTTCTTTAAATACTTAGTCATTATATGCACATGATATTTTGAACATACAATTTCCTACTTAGGAGTAGAAGGTATCAGTTGGTATGTGTTGTATACGCGTTATAGTTTATTCTTGTTGTTTGTCTTCTATTTCACATCTAGATTATTAGCTCTCTAATTACTCCTAATTTCACTCAAAGAAAATGAAAAACCAAACCATAAATAAAGCTTTAACAGTCTTACACACAATGGATACTTTAACCTTTTACTATTCTCTCTGACCACAGATGTTTGCGCCCTATCTCAAGTGTTTAGGCGGAGTATAATATCGTAAGCAATTTTTATGTTAGGCGTAATGTACTAGATGAGGACGGGAAGTCAATCTTTGAGGCTATGAAGCCACATCGATTGAGATGGCTAGGATACTTGTTGCGCATGCCGAGCCACACTAACTTCCCCGACGAGAAATGTTTGGCTGTCATAGGTGTTGTTAGGGTTAGAAAAGAGTTAAAGGGGAGGGTGAAGTTAAACTTTAAGCACCACTAATTACCAATCAGCGAGTGACCTTGAACGGGTCAATGAGTTTCACCCACGCGAGTTTAAGGTTCTCTTCCGCTTGATTTAAGTCAAATGCCTGCTCTAACGCAGTTACGCTTGTAGTTTGTTTAGGATAAGGTTTTCCAGTATTGTTTGGATGTGGGGTTGCTTAGGAAGGAAACGATTTGTTCATTTGGAGGTGTGATGAGAATAAAAAGCTTCAGAAGGTCGATTGATGGAGATGTCCATCGTTGCGCAATTTGTTTGAGATAAGTTAGTGTCGGGAAGGTAAGCTGGTGATTCTAATATTTCGTAGGAACATTTTTTGCCGGTCCCATCTGCCCTTAACCCAGATTTTGTATATTTGTAACTACTGGGTTTTAAAACAGCCAGTGAGAGGTGCAGCTGTTAAAACGGAAAATAGCCTAGTGTCAACATTTCAGTGGTACCAACACTGCAGAGATATCGCATCATGGAAAATAGAGAGGAATATTTCGTTGTTAAGCTTAGAAGGTGTCATCGTACTCGTAGATGAAACTGTCTTATTAAAGAAAAAAATACAACCATGGTCGTGAACGAGCAGAAAATGTTTGGGTGATCGGCTAATTTGACACCATTCTACTGATTTTTTGGAT